CATATCATATCATATCATATCATATCATATATCATATCACATCACATCACATCACATCATATCTCATTATGGAACTGAGGGTTTTAGATCAGCAGGGATGGTTTTAGTAAAGTTTAGTAGCCTATACTGTTAACTGTGGGTGTATACAGCATGTCTTAGATCGGCCACTGATTGTGTCATTTTTTTTGGGTGTAGTATATTACTGTTTGTTTATGTCTTTGCCAACACTGCATGTCAATTTCCCTCTCAGATAATCAAGATAATGAATCTGTTGTGGCTGTTTTACCATGCTGCAAAATCCTACAACACTTAAGCTGTGTCCCAATTCAGGGGCCGCGTCCTTCGGGGGCTGCATTTGAAGACCGGTTGCGTCACAGCGGCACGACTAGGCTCTCTGGCTCTAGCTGTCTCTAATCAAGGGCTATGGGCTGTTACATTTCAAAGGCTGCTTCAAATGCAGCCTCGGTTCGGCCTTCGCAGTCTACTACCCCTGAATTAGGACGCAGCTTTAGTCTGATGAGCTGTTCTTAGTTTGACTCCCGTTCCACTGAATGAATCCAACCGTACCATGAAAACCCAGTGTACTCACACTTATTTATTTCCATATACCAGCGTCACAGCAGGTGATTCAGTTTTTACATCTGAGCCTGGTCCAATACCGACTTGATGTTTTATGTTTTCCTATCGCAGAATCTGTCACATTTAACACGGTCAAAAACTTACAACGACCCAAACTCCTCTGACTTCTCAGGGTTTTTGAGCGCTGCTTTATCCAAAACACCGAACTGCGTTACATAAACACCTGTCCTAAACTACCATCACAAAACTGCACATTTTACAGCAAATAGAAACAGTGCAACCTCAGTATAATCCACTATTTAACATAAACAATAACTATTATACAGACTTTAATCAATTTGGAATCTAAACATTATCAAAGTATCATATATGCCTTATTGGCTTTTACATAATCAATGAGTCAGTACCATGACCATAATGACGAATGAACGAACACAGGAAGTCAATTTGTTTGCAAAGCTAAGAGAGAAACAGTCCCTCGTCCCTGAACACCAACAGGAAATGTTTTCTATCGGTGCTGAGAATCTTAAAACATCCCACAGCCCTTTAACAATCAAGAATAAACTCAAAACATAATGTTTAAAACACATTTAATTATGGATAATATGGAACAAGAAGCAATATACTCTTCATTCATGAAGGAAAACTTAACAATATTTTAACTTTTATCAGTTTCAGAGAAATATACAAGCAGAATATATTTACACATGGAAATGGAAATAAATGCTGATGCTTGTGTTTTGTGTGTGTGTGTGTGTGTGTGTGTGTGTGTGTGAGTGTGTGTGTGTGTGTGTGTGTGTCTGGGAGTGGGCGACACTGATACCACCTATCATTGTATATGTAATTTGATGTTACTTCATGTGTAGTTATGAAGTAGTATATTTCCTGGAAACTAAATGAGTGACTGTTTAGAGATGCAACCAATAGATTTCCAGCCCTGACTCTATGAATTTATGTTTTGTTGGTGAATAATCAGTGGATTCCCAGTTGATGGAGGAGCATGTGGTGACACGGCTCCTTGATCCAGAGCTGAATGTCTCCATGAACCTGAAGAGACACAAAGAACAACGTTACATGAAGTGACTGTAAATGTCTGGAGAGTTCAGTTCCACAAAGCCACATATTTACATGTTGACAGTATCATCTGGACCTAAAACAGCCATGATACAGTCATTTAAGGATTAACATTATGTAAACTGAGTATTTACCTACTCTGCTTCTGCAGAAGATTAATACAACACTTTATCTGTCCCACTGGTCTGAAGGTTTCTGAGAGCATCTGTGTCTTTCTCAGAACCATCTCATTTAACTCAATATAAAACATCTGTGTAGAAAACCCATTTAAAGTTAAAGCTTTTCTTTACAACTACAACGTGTCACAGAAGTTTGACGGTGGATAAAGAAACAATTACATAAAGTTGTTTGGCACAAAGTTTAAAGCAGCTTTGTTGAACGTCTGCAGTAACTCACTGTGTTCAGGCTGGAGTGTTTGTTGCTCAGGCGCTTGGATTCAGTTGCTCCATGACCTCCGGGTTGCTCACAGCTGTAAGGTCAGAAACACACTGTTAGCCCACATCCTCCTCTGAACTGACTCTGTTTTACAAACAGCTGAAACTGCAGGAAACAGTCCTGAGAACGTCTTCAGCACAAAACACAAGAACCTTTTTACTCTACAGAGATCATGTGACATCACAGAAAACACAGTAGAAACAAGCGTTACTTACGAGATGGAGGACGCTTGGCTGAAATGAAAAGAAAATACAAATAATTTCAGTTGTTGCAGCTGAAAATACTAAAACTCAAACTGATACAGATCCCTTCTCCCTGTTGTTTAGATCTGACATTATTTCTTTTCCTGTAACCACTCCCTTCACCCATCATGCTTTAGTCACATGATCATCAGACTGTGGCTGTAAACCCTGCAGCTCTCACTGGTTGAAACACATTCTGTTTGGCTGGGAACTGAAGTTTGTTTCACTTTTAAAATCTGGATAAAGCATCAACTCAAAGTCTAAAATCAAAGAGTCTGTGGTTTGGTTTCTCACCACTCTTCTTTCTGCAGATGAAGAATCCAACGGCGCCGATGACGAGAGCGAGAACCGCCACTGCAGCGATGATGATGGCGATCAGGGGACTGGACTTCTCTGTGGAGCAAAACACAACAAACCAATCACAGCCTGTCCTGATGAAGCAGGTCAGAAGAGACGACCACACCACCTCCCTGTACAACGGCAGTTCAGTCTGTGTATACACACCATATGTTAGTTTGTCCTGGTGTTGTTACTCTCACTTTTCATCCCTTCTGGTCTGTAAATAATGAGTGTGTGTGTGTGATCATTTATCTGTGTGTGCTGTTGTTGTCTTTGTTTACACGTCTGTTCTTGTCACTGTGTGTGAGAACTATGAGACCTTCTGACAATCACAGTCACATTACTGTGAACAACTGGGCCAATAAACCTGAGTCTGACCCATTTACTGACAGATACATTTATATTCACCCAGTTATTACATCATTTACTCTCTATTCATCTTCTGTAACTGACAAATGGTTGAGTCAGTGCAGTGGCTATAAATCGTTACACAAAAATATTGTCTGTTGATTCCTGAAAAAATTCTTCCAGGAATTAAACTTTACAATGATTTCATCACTAAAATGAATCCATAAAGGTGAAAAACTTCAATATATGAAATTAAACAAAAGAATTAATAAAATAATGTTTAACTGTTGACATTATTCTTTTATGAATAATTTTAATAACAAGCTGTAGAAAATAAGGTGGAGAAGCACTTTTTAAAACTTCAACTCAAAGTTGTAAATAAAGAAATGTTTTATAAATTTGTCAGAATCACATGATGATACGTGTTGGTTTAATACTGAGCCAGACTTAAAATTGTATTTAAAAACTAGATGAAAGAAACTGACCAAAAACAACAAGATGTGAGAGAACTTGTCACCATACACACATGACAATACATGAAGTGCAGGAATATTACAGTAAATAAAATGTGTTTCCCACCTTCATCACTTCTGATTCAAATCTTACTGAACGAGAGACTCTCTGCTTTGTCCAGTTTGATGACGACGTCCTCCTTCACTCCAGAGAGATGAAACACACAAAAGTTAAAGAAATTCAACATGGAGACATCGAGTCATCATGAACTCAAACTAACTGTCCACTGACCATCAGCAGCTGACTGAAAGTGATGTCAGAGCACCTGACATGTCCGTCTCTACTGATTGGTCAGGACTGACTCAAATCTCTAAAGAAGGTAAAGTCAGACTGAGAGGAGTGATGATACACTGGTAATTCAGTCTGAGTAGTCTATATGAATATTGTTGTGTTCATGAAACTACATCAGGTCATGTGATTCTACCTGTTCTCAGCAGAGAGCTCCTCCCATAGTCCAAATACTTCTTCAGCCATTCAGGACAAGTCTGAGTTAAAAAGTGTTCATTTAATTTTATGTCAGCGTCCCATCTCAGTTTGGTGATGACAGCCTGTGGTTGTGGAGCGATCCATGTCAGTGTCTTCAGATTAAATGCTATCAAATCTTCTCCATCATAACCAAACTGCATATAACCCTTAACTTCTCCAGTCTCATCGTCCCATTCACAGCCACTCATCCTCTGTAAAATGTGGACACCTGAGGCAGACACAGAGAGAGAGACAGACAACGTTTAAAACAAAACAAACAATGAAAAACCATACCTGTGTGACACCTGCAGCAGTTCCAGGTTCAAGTGACCAGAACTCCAGGGACCCTGGAACCTCGTGGGTTTCAGGGGGATATAGCTTTCTTCATAATTTACTTAGTTTTTTTTCTCCTAAGTGTGTAAAAGAAAAATGAGCGAAGCGTCATCCGACAAGTTTCAATGTAGCACTTAATAGAAAGTCTTTACAGTTATGTAGATGTGAAAGTGGTACAGTGAAAAACAAACAGAAGAACACAGAAGACACATTATCCAACACACAAGCTGAAGCATCTCAGGTGAATGATACTTTGTACACAGACCCTGACGTGATGGTTGTCAGGGAAGTGTATCAGATACACTAACTGGCTACAATAATACACTGTGACATTGATCAGCCAATGAGAACAAAAAGTGACAACGACATATCTCCATTATTATCTTAAAGGAAGAAGAAACACAGAAATTAGTAAAATTGGAAATTACCCTTATTTATTTATTTGTTTATTCATCCATTTGTAGTTGGCGAAATTTTAATTAATTTTTTTTTTTATTATTAATCAAGGTCAAAAGTTTTTTATTTCCTGCGTCACTTTTGGGCCGCCATACTGTTTACTGTCACTTGACTTCATAAGGATGTATGAAGGATGTTGTTAGGATGAAGAACAGTTTATAAGTAAAAGGTGATATGCAGCATAGATAAAACTGTACCACCTCCAGTCTGGTTGAAGTGCTGCATGAGAGTATAGATGTTATCTTTGAGGAGGATCGGTTGAAGCTCACACTGTTCAGCGCTGTACTTCAACAGCTGATCGTTGTCTGACATCTTTCTCCCCCACTCCTCTTTCGGTTCTATCTTCGTGTCGCTGTCGCAGTGAGCCACCGTGATGTGTTCAACCTGTACATCACCCACAAACTCCGGGATGCTCTGGACTTCAGAAGACGCAGTGAAGGGAAACAGCAGGGAGTGTGTCACTGTGGGACAAACAAGGTTTTCATTATGTAAATACACACTCATCCTAAGTGTGATGTATCCGGTAGGATTCCGTTAAAACGTATGGTCACGTGGGAGTATAGTTGAAGTGAAACTAAATTAAACAGGAGTGAGACGCAGGAGGTAAAAATACAGAGTTAAATATTTAAAACGTGATCCTACCTGCTGATGAACCGGGACAGAAAAGAAGCAACAAAATTAACTTCCTTTTTTGTTTGTTTTGATGAAGACGTAAAAGCTCATTCAGCTGTTTAGCTTTACATCCATTGCTGTTTCCTGGGAAAAGGTGGAGCTCGTTCACCAGAAGGAGAAAGAGGAGGAGGCAGCAGGGGGCAGAGACAAAAAGCTGCAGTCTAGAGGAACAGATGTTGTCAGACCAGTATTCAGCTTGTACTCAATCCACAATAACTGTTGAAACCATGTTCTTCTGCAGGACAGAGAGGCGTTCATGGTTTAACCTTCATGTGGGAGCTGTTCCTCTCAGACTACATTGGTTCAAAACATCAAAGGTCCAATTTCACTGTTCATTGGTCTGTCAGGATGTCATGTTCACAGATGTTATTTTGAGGATCCTCAATTTGCAAATGTTTTGTGTCTTTAATACTTGAAGAATTAAATCAGCCATGAGCATAATGTAGACTAGGAACTGTAATAGCAGGTTTGTACTTTATGAGAATAAAATCAATGTATCCACTCTGTGACTGATAAAAGTCACCAGCAGCCACGGGACCAGGCCCGGTTCTAGACTGCTTGGATTGGGGAGGGCATTAAGATGTTGACTGGTCACTAAGTGCCAGACTTCAAGACTGGTTACTGCAGTCCTCTGAGTGTCCTTTAAGACTGTAAGCTGTAACATGCACTGTCTCATGTTATCTAAAACTGAAGCCATACAATCTAATAATACATAAGCCCATAATGTATTCAAGTTTGAACCTCTGCGTCTAGCGTTTTTCTGCCTAAACCTAACCAAGCCGTGACTGATATTAAAGTACCCATGGTACAGTTGCGTGTTTATTACGGTAACCATGACAACCAAGGTCCAGTACGCATGCCGCTGTATGGGTGCTATTTCAGGAGACACTCATATGGGTCGCATCATTTACAGGCATTTATAGAGGCATAAAATAATCTAAAAACATTTAAAATAAAAGTATAAGAAGACATTAAAACTGCATTTAACAAACAATAAAAACAAAAGCAAAAACAAGCAAATAAATAGATAAACCTTAAAAAGAGGTCAAGTTGGTCATTTATTGGGAAGCCTAACAGGAGTGTTTTTAGCCCTGATTTAAATGAGCCGACAGTTTCAGATCAGGAAGATTGTTCCACGTGGTGAGGAGCATAGTAACTAAAAGCTGCTTCACCTTGCCTGGTTTTGATCCTGAGAACACTGAGAAAAACCTGTCCCAGGTGACCTGAGGGGTGTGGCCGCTTCATATCTACAGGTACATTAGAAATGTATTTAGGGGCCAGACCATTTGTTTGGTTTTATCTTTGGTGGGGACATTTTTGTCAGATGGCCGAATTAATATGTGCTTGTTCTTTATCTCTTTATTCTCACACACACACACACATGAAGAGCCTGAGTCTGGAGAGAGTTTATTTGGATTGAATATATGTTTGCTGATATAACTTGTCTAAAAATGGACTTGTCATGTTTTATTTTTCTCTCTCTTTAAACTCTTTTTTTCATTAACAGTTGTTCTTTCATCCAGTTTTTAAATGGTTTTCAGGCTGGATGCAGTATTTAACAAAGCACGTATCCTCACTTTAGTAGTCATCATGTGATTCTGACAAATGCAGGAAAACAAACTGATATCTTTATAATAAGGTTTCCTTTTCTGAATATAAGTGCGAAGTTTTAAAGTGGCGTGTCCCACCAATCACTCTTCTGTACTGCTTGTTGACTGTTCCACGTTGTACTATGTAAGTACAAGTACACAAGTGCGACAGTTGTCAAACATGATTTTAATCCGGTTTTTTTCTTTTATTTTCTCGCTTGAAATTTACCCACCTTTATAAATTCATTTAGACTGAAATCATTGTTAAAATATAATGTCTGAGATGTTTTGTCAGGAATCAACAGACAAGTTGAGTTTGATTAGTGTAACATTAATTAGAGAGCCCTGCAGGCTGACTCAAGCATGTTGTCAGTTATAGAAGATGAATAGAAGAGTAAATGAGTATAAGCTGGGTGAATCATCTGAAATGTATCTGCATCTTCATGTTTTCAAATGGGTCAGACTCAGGATTTATTGCCCAGTTGTTCGCACAGTAGATGTGACTGTCATTTGTCAGAAGGTCTCATAGCTTCTCACACACTAGTGACAAGAACAGACGTGTAAACAAAGACAACAACAGCCAACACAGATTAAATGATCAACGACACACACTCGATTATTTACAGACCCAGAAGGATGAAAAGTGAGCAGTAACGAACACCAGGACAAACTAACACATGTGTGTGCTATACACAGAACTGAGCAGCTTGCCGTTGTACCAGGGGAGTGGTGTGGTCGTACTTACTTCTGACCTGCTTCATCACGACAAGGTTGTGATTGAGGTTTTGTTGTTTGTTCTTGGCCTCCCAAAGAGAAAGCCAGTCCCCTGCATCCGCCATCATTCATGCGACTGAGCTGGCGGTTTTCTCGCTCTCGTCATCGGCGCCGTTGATTCTTCATCTGACACAGAAAGAAGAGTGGTGAGGAATACCAAACCCAGACTCTTTGATTTGTAGACGTTGAGTGTGATGCTTTATCAGATTTTAGGACAAGTAGAAACAGACTCGATTCCACGAAACGCGAGACAGAATGGTGTCAACCAAGTGAGAAGCTGCCAGCAGTGCGTTTCATGCAAGCCACAGTCTCGTGAATCATGGTGATAAAGCATTGATGGGTGGAAGAGTGGTTACAGAAAAGGAGAGGGTGAAGATCTACGTAACCAAAACAGGGAGAGAGGACTGTACAGTTTGAGTTTTAGTGATATTTCGAGCTGGCGAACAATGAACATTGAGTTGCCTATTTTTTTCAATTTCAGGCCAAGCGTCCTCTCAGTCTCGAGTAGTAACGCCTTGTGGTCTACGTGGTATTTCTGTGATGTCACATCGATCTCGTGTAGAGTAAAAGGGTTCTTGGTGTTTTGTGCTGAGACTTCGGTCATAAGACTGTTTCTCCTAGCAGTTTCAAGTGTTTGTAAGCAGGTGCATGTCAGAGAGAGGATGTGGGCTGAACAGTGTTTTCTGACCTTACAGCTTGTGCGCAATCCCCGGAAGTGGTCAATCTGGAGCACAGACTGAAGTCCAAGGCGCCCTGAGCAGCACAACACTCCAGCCTGAAGCACACCAGTGCAGTTTACTGGCAGAACGTTCAAACAAGCATGGACGCTCATATAAACTTTGTGGCCACAAGCGTTTATGTTGATATGTTTCTCTTTCACCTCAACTTCTTGACCGTTGTTTCTTGTTGTGGCTTACGTCCTTAAAATGGGTTTTCTACCACCAGATTGTTTCATATTGAGCTAAGATGAGAATGGTTTGAGAGAAGACAGCCAGGATGCACTCTCAAAGACCTCAGAACCAGGTGGACCGTATAAAGGTGTTGTAATTAAAGCATACTGGGCAGAAGCAGAGTAGGTAAATAGCAGATTTTCATTGTCATACATGGTTAATGCGCCTTAATGAACTGTGATCATGCTGTTTTAGGTCCAGTATTGATACTGTCAAACATGTAAGAATTGGCTTTGTGAGGTGAACCTCCAGACATTACAGTCACTTCAATGTACGTTGTTCTTGTGTGTCTCTTCAGGTCATGGGAACAGGAGGACATTCGAGGTCTGAGTCGAGGAGGCCGTGCTCACCTACGTATGCGTCGCTGCTCATCACTGGGGAGATTCACTGGATTATTTCACCAACAGCAAGAATTCATTAGAGTTCAGGCTGGAAATCGTATTGGTTGCATCTCTTAGAGACAGTCACTCATTTATGTTTCCAGGAAATATAACTATTAGTAACTGACACATGAAGAGTAACATCATTACATATACAGATGATAGAGTGGTATCAGTGTCGCCCTCACTCCCAGAACACACACACAAGCACCAGCAGTCATACACACAGCACACACACACAGCACACTCACACACACACACACACGACACCACACAGCAGCCACAATACAACAGCATCAGCATTTGGTATTTCCATTTGCCATGTGTAAATATCATTCTGACTTGTATAGCTTTCTCGGTGAAAACTGATAAGAGAGTATTTAAAGAATTATTGTTAGTTTCCTTCATGCGAATGAAGATATATTGCTTCTGGGTTCCATATGTGATCATAATTAAACTGTGTGATTAAACCATTATAGCTTTGATTAGATTTTGTTATTTTTCATTTGCAGCGTCGTTGAAAGGAGGCTGTGAGGGCATATTGGTTGTTTTAAGACTTGCTTCGGCAGCACAGGAATAAGAAACATTATACCTGTTGGTGTTCACTGTGGACGAGGGGACGTAGAGTTTCTCTCTTAGCTTGTGTGCAAACAGATTGACTTCCTGCTTTCGCGTTGCGATTCCGGTATTATGGACATGGTACGCCATTGAATTAGGGTAAGAGCCGAATAAGGCATATATGAGTAGCTTATGAGATAATGTTGTAGGGATTTGCGCAAATTGGACATTAAGTTCTGGTATGATAGTTGATTGTTTATGTAATGATAGTGGGATTATAGCTGCAGGTTGCAGCTGGTTTCGCTAGATTGTGTTAAATTGTGCAAGTGTTTTGTGATGGTGACAGTTTAAGGACTAGGTGCTTTATGTAATCGCCATTGCGTGGTTGGTTGGATAATAAGCAGGCGCTGCCAAGAAACCCTGAGAGAGATGCAGAGGGATAAGTTGGGTCGTGTGTAGAGTTGTTTGACGTCGTTGAAATGTGACAGTCTGCGATAGGCAAAGACATAAGAACATCAAGTCGGCGGTATTTAGTGGAGCGAGGCCTCAGACGTAAAACACTCGAATCACCTGCTGTGACGGCATGTAGTATATGGAGTACATTCTAACATAAAGTCGTCGCAGACATCTGGGCTTTTGTCTATGTCAGTCGTTGGATTCATTCCAGTGGACACGGAGATCCAGATACTAATATACACGCATGCATACACAGGAGCGTAAGAGCTCTTGCGTCTAATTGCAGGGGTGTAGTAAGACTGACGAGGCCGCAACCTGAGGCTGCATTTGAAGCAGCCTTTGAAATGTAACAGCCCCATCAGCCCCGTTGATAAGAGACAGCTAGGAGCCAGGAGGAGGCCTGTCGTGCCGTGTGACGCAAGCCGGTTCTGTCTGAAGCTTGCAGCCCACGAAGGCACGTCGGACCGAGCGCGACACTGAGTGATTGGGACGACAGCTCTACCAGCACGAACAGATTCAATTATCTTTGATATAGTCTGAGGGGCAGTCTGACATGCATGTTGCAGATACATTGGACAAGTAAGGAACAAACAGGATACATGATACTACACCCAGAAAAAAAGAGTAGTGTGAGGCGTGGAAGACCGACCAATCAGTGAGCCGATCATACAAGACATGGCTGTATACAACCCACAGTTAACAGTCTAGGCTACTAAAGCTTAGCCGTCATAAGACCGATCCCTGCTGGAATCTGAAAACCGCTCAGTTCCATAATCGAGATATGATGTGATGTGATGTGATTTGATAATGATAAGATATGAATATGATATGATATGATTGATGATATGATATGATATAGATAGAGCTATATGATATGATATGATATGATATGAATATGAATGGATTGATATGTTAACTGATTCTGAATATCTAACAACGCCAACGTTATCTTATGCTACACTGTTTTGCTTGATTGCCTGACGAGCAGCAGCAGTAACGTTCTCTGATGACGTCTCACTTTTATGATACGTCATCTTATTATTATCATCCACGTTTGAATGGATATTGAAATCGTTAACTTCGCATCACATCATCAAACATGTCGGCACCAGCCTAACGTTACTCTAGTGCTCTTTTTACCTGCGTGGCTACTGCTGCTCTCCCCTCGGCTCTCCTCTCCTCCTGCTCACTGTGCTCCTCGCTTCCACTCTCACTCTCCTGCAATCTCGGCGGTCTTTCTTCATCGTGCAGCAACAGGAGAAGAGGAGAGCAGACAGAGGCAGCACAGGAGATGCAAGGAGAGTGAGAGTGGAGATGCCGAGGAGCACAGTGAGCAAGGAAGAGCAAGAGGAGAGCCGAGGGGAAGCAGCAGGTAGCACGCCAGAGTAAAAAGAGCACTCACGGGAGTGAACGTTAAGGGAGCTCTGTTGTGCCGACGATGTGAGTGATCGAGTGCTGAGTAAAACGTGTAATTTCAACAAGTGGGATGAATGAATAACATAAGATGGACGGTAGTCCATATGAGAAAGTTTTTTTTGGAGGAAACCCCTTGAGGTTCCCATCTTCCCTAAGTGAGAAAAAAAAAAAACGTTGTAAAAACGTATGCTGCTGCTCGCAGCCAGGGCTAATCAAGAGCAAACAGTGGGTTAGCATAGAGAATTACTTGGCAGTGTTTAGTATATCAAATCATAACATATCATATCAAATCATATGCGATAGTCATATCATACATAGTGCATAGATTCATATCATATCATACGTCATGATCGTCATGAATCATAGTCATGATTTCATAGTCATAATATCATGATCACGAGTCAGAGAGCGGCAATTCACATCATATCTCATTATGGAAACTGGGGGTTTTTTAGGATCAGCAGGGATGGTTTTATGTAAATGTGTTAGTAAGCCTATACTGGTTAACTGTGGGTGTATACCAGCAGTCTTAGATCGCGCACTGATTGTTATTTTTGTTTGGGTGTAGTATATACTTTTTGTTTTGTTATTGTCGAGATCCACATAGAGCAATGTCAATTTCCTCTGGCAGAGTAATCAGGATAAGAATCATGTGTGTGGCTGTACCAGCGAAAACTACACTAGCCTCCAATGGGCGCTCTAGTGGGCTACATTTGAAGACGGCTTGCCGTCACAGCGGACGACTAGGCTCTCTAGGCGTCTAGCGTGTCCTAAGCAAGGGCTATGGCTGTTAACATTTCAAAGCTGGCTTCAAAATGCAGCCTCGGTTCGGCCGCTTCGCAGTCTACTACCCTCGAATTAGGACGCAAGCATTTAGTCTATTAGACGTGTTCTAGTTTTGAGACTCCCGTTCGCCAGCATATAATGCAGAATCAGCGGTACCATGAAGACGCCGAGTGTACTCATCACTTATTTATAATTAACATATACCAGCGTCACAGAGGTGATTCAGTTTTAACATTTTACCTGAAGCCTAGGTCCGAGATACCGACTTGAGTGTTTTGCATGTTTTCCTATCGCAAGAATCATTCACATTTAACACGCGTACAAAAATCTTACAACGACCCAGAACTGCCTCTGACTTCTCAAGGGTGTTTTTTGAGCGCTGCTTTATCCAAAATCACCGAACTGCGTCTACAAAACACCTTCCTAAACTACCGATTCGACAATGACATAGCATCATTATACCAGCAATTAGAGAGACAGTGCAACCTCCAGGCTAACAATATACACCATAATTATAAC